ATTTGTTATTTATTTGTTAGATGTGCAGCAGCAGTATTTCCTACATGTTCACAACAGCATGTCTGTGAATGTATTAGCAGTAGTAAGTCTCAGTACTTGCTACTTGCAAGACCAAACACATTAACATTGCCATGTATATTACCATGCTGAACTCTCCGAGACTTGTCATGACAGAAAAAAATTTAATGTTACGTAATAGAAAGAAAGGAGAGCAAAAATGTAGATAGCAAACATTTCCCTAAAGAAAGTTTGCAGGCCTGATTTATGCGCAATCTTTTTTTATATGTAGGGAAATTTCATGCCATCATGAATGCAACACATATTGCATTAACTCTATAGAAGACAGTATGCTCTATGGTGAGAGATCATTGAGACTGCATTTAAACACTCAAACATTGACTGTTTGATGTGCATTTCTGGATGTGTGTATGCTGGCTTCGGTTTCCACATTTATGCTGCATTTCTGGTACACTGGCAGAAAAATAGCTAGGCAGACATCACTGAAACGTCATGGTTTGAGTATGCTTAATAATGAGCATTTAATAAACCAAGTGCAGCTAGCACACTGCTGGAATGTCTGCAATGAGGCCATGTAATCCCTCTCCACAAGCCATAACTCTTAAGTTTGCAGGTGGAACACTAGGCAAGGGAGGGCAGGCAACAGACACAAATATGCAGCGATCACAGTGGTGCAGAGAGAAAAAAGATGAGCAGCTGACAAAATGTCTGTGAACATCATTTGTGACCATGTTTTTGGCACTGTCATGCACTTTCATTCGAATACAGAACCTAGAGCATCAGGAATGACAGGAAAGAGAGTGGGTGGTATGAGGGAAGGGAAATAATAAGGAATGGAAGGAAGGGAAGGAGGCAGACAGTGAGAGATGGTCTGGGCAGCACTGATTAGGCTCCTGGGAGAGGTTCAGGAAGGATTTGCTGTTTTCTACGCACAGCTGATTGGCTGAGAGAAAAAAAAGCCACACGAGAGATAGTAGTGAAGAAATAGAATGAAGACACCTATACCCCCAAATCCACACCCAAGCTTTGTCAGCTTTAATCTCTACTCGTTTATATTACAAAAGCCATATGAAAGAGCTTTAAGAAGACAGAGAGAAAATAATCTGACCTGGGTGGAAGGCTTAGCCGGTATCTCTTGAGCGGAGATTGGACTCTCAAGCACAGAAGAATCAAGCACATCAGAGGAGCTCCCCCAGTCAGTCTGAACAGCACCTCCCGTCTCGGGCGAGGTGAGTGGAACATCGCTAGCATAACCTGAAGACTGAAGGTCTTGTGGTGGGGGGCCAACGCCTTCAGCTACTTGAGCAGAGTTGTCCAATAGGAACTCTTTCCATTTTTTCCCCCGAGCTGCAGCTGTTGCTGGTTTGGCAGGGTTTTTCTTCCCGGGTGGTCGCCCTTGAGTTGCGGACACTTGTATTTTCGTAATGCCAACAGTAACAGGAGATGCAGCTGGAGGTTCAGAATGGACCTCAAGTTCTTTGTCACGCCAGGCGGGCGGCCCATAGTCCCTTGGATACACAGTTCGGACCACACAAAGTTGCCCTCCAAACTCACGAATGTGAACAACTCCCTTCTTCTTGGTTTCCGAGGGTTCACCGAACATCAGTTCACTCTGCCCATGCACATCTCCTCCTTCCTTCTCTATTTCCAGGTCACCACGTTTGGAGCGTAAAAGACAGGGTCTCTCTAATACCCCCTGAACTCGCTCTCGAACCTTACAGACTCTTCCTCCTCCAGGAGTTGTGCTGCCTTGCTCTAATTCAGCCTGAGACTCTTCGCAGAGTCCCTCTACCTCAAACTGGCGAAGTGCCCCCAGCCAGGCTGGACTGGGATCTGGGGAAAGAATGGCCATCTTGCTGCCCCGCAATGTCCCTGTGCTTCCAAATATTGGGGCCATACCAGGAACAAGGACAACATTGGTGGGCGTTTCAGTTTCTGTAGTTATTTGTCCAGATACCAATTTGGCTGAATCAGGGGCTCTTGTCGTAGGCTCCTCCGTAACTTCAACGCTTCCACTCTCCTTCTCTTCAAGGACACGGCTTCTCTTGTCCTCCCCTTCAGAACCTTTTAACTTCTGTTTGGCCTTTCGTTTTCGCCTGAAGCGAAGTTTTCTTTTGGGTGATAGTGGTGCAACACCACCTGGTCCAGCATCCCTGGGTTGTTTCACACAACCAAGGGAGCTCCCCATATCTCATAGAGACAGAGTAGATAAATATGAGGCAAAAGGAATAAAGTGATGTCCACAATGGGAGCAAAACAGCCAGCCTGAGGCTGGTAAGGTAAATTAAAACGTTAAGTTAATGACTCATCTGGAGTGAAAATCATGACAAGAAGTATTAACCATGACAAAAGGGTTTGGTACAGGGTGAGGTTCTCCCAGGACATCATGTCTCAACTTTAGGTGTGGGCAGCAGTCATATCTCCTGTTGCTTAGTCTTCTCTTTCTGTTGTTCAGGCAATGTTGCAGTTAACCTAAACCAAATATCACTTAAGGTAGGTCCTTGTAAGCCTCTAGGACATGATGCTGAATATAGGTTACTGTCCTTTATAAAATATTAAAATCCTACGGCAAGGCATTTGATGTTTTTTCACTCCCTCATGATGCAGAGATGATGCAGCACTGACTGAAGAAAAACCGGTGCTTTTTAGCCCATTTCACAAGCTATGTGTTAAATAGCAGGCCATTTGTAATGGTACTCGAAGACACAAGAAGGTACTTCAGAAGATATTCCTCAAGGTGAGAACGACAATAAAACTGCACTGCAGACATACAGAGACATACTCATGTGAGTGCACATGCTCAATAACTCTGCATCAGGATGCATCATTAGGATGCACTAATCGTCAGCTTGAAAAAAAAACATGTCTGAACATGTATTTATATGTGAACCGTAAGATGCCTAGAAACACCTGCTTCTCTGAATATCTTTAGCATACATTATTGATCACTTCACTCTGTAGTGCTAACATCACATAGGGTAGGTAATGTATTGGGAAGCAGTCATAAAAGTCCTGTGGGACGCTTACAGTAAAGTTGTGTAACAGGTCTAAGATCAGCTGCTAATGGACGAAAGAGCAGAATCAGGTAGCTCATCTACAATTTAGTCACAACCCATCAGAGCTTAACATATTTTGTTCCCATCATCACCCAAGCATAACCAGCCCATGTGAGATGATGTTTGGTCTTCACACCTGTAGCTATGAGTGTTTCACGTCCCAGGCATGTAAACTCCATTAAAACAAGTCTCCAGACATTGAAGAGAAAGAAGGGGAGGGGCTAGGTACAAAGCATCTCGCCACTGCTGCCACGGGAACTGGCATCCCATGCACTGACGCCAGCACATTCAAGTCAATAAAGAGGACGGTGACTACCCATGAGTGAAGACCTCACCTTCAGCCAGCAAAATTCAACAACCATTTTCCCCCTGCTGACATGGCTGGTTATAGATGTGGTTTAGCACATAGTCCAGTCTCATATATCAAGTAGACATTGTTTCAAGCCATCCTGTCTTCCTTGTTCCGTCACTAAGCAGTGTATGTCCCTAAATTGGGGTGAGTCAATGAGAGAAAAAGTGATAACTGACAAGGTGCCGCTCCCTGATACTGTCTGCTTCTCTGGCTGTGGAATCTAATTAGAACGCCGCCAGGATAGGGCTGGGCTGGGCAGTTGAACCATGGCTGGAAGAGGAAAAGAGGGAAATCCAGAGGAATCCTCCCCCAACCTGGAGCTGCACTGCTGGCCTCAGAGAAGAATGGTTGCCCCAGTATTGAAAAAAGCTTCGCTCCATCAGTCGAGCATGGAGAAATTGATCCAATTGATACGGTGCTCTCCTTTGCACAACCTGGGTACAAATTAAAATGTGCGACTTACATGTGTGTGCCTGCAGGGTTCAGCGATCCTGATTCTGAGATTGAAAGCATATGTGTCGCTGTATATGTGGTGTGCTTCAAGAGGCCTGCAGGGGAGAGAGGAAGCATGTGTCCTCTTCTCAGTTGCTGGGTAGCTCCTCTGCTCTCACTGGTAGGCACCAGCGGAAAAAATAGCTTCATCTCTTGTCTGCTGCAGCCTCACAGAATACGCTGCTGCTGCTTTAGCTTCCTCTCCTCCCTCTCTCCCTCCTCCTCACTCTTTCTCTCCTCCTATCCACGTGCTCATCCCTCCCTCCCTCCCTGTTCTGATGCCTGGTGAGCTCAGAGCTCAACACACACGCGCACATGCACACCAATCAAACTGGTTGGCAGCCTGAGACTGCAAGAAAAGAATGAACCTGAAATTTTAATTGTTGCTCCTTAACATATATGTCACTTTCACAGCTGATATTATTGGCTCTCCTCTCTTACATATATATTTATACATATTAACACACTAGCCATAAGACATCTTGACAAAGATGAACAAGGGACAAGGCAGAATGAATACATTTATTACTAACGGGTCTGAAGAACATGATCAATCTGTAAAGAGTTAAGGAGATGCAGATGAAAGATCTTGCCAGCTGTTAAGATGCATTCACATTAGTTGGATTCTGATCAAATTTCGCAGGCTGTTGGGTCAATACTGCACATTTGCACGACCAATTGAACCCAATGCTTAATTCACATGGGGAAATCTTTCTCTCGATCATGTGTAATTCCTGTTGAAATTACTGGATTTCTGCAGCAGAAATTTGGCAAATAGCAGTAAATGTGACCACACCTTAAGAGGCTGTGGACATGAAGATGAAGATATCCCTCTTCTATAGACACTCCCACACAAATTACAGCACTGTGATGATATTTAGTCATGTGATCAGAAGCAGCATAGACAAGCAGGATTGCAAAGGAAGGTGATGAATTAACAACCAATAAATCAATCAGAACCATGATACCATGATAAACAGCCTAATTGTCATGGATCCATAGTCTCCAGTACTGTAACTGAGACGGGGTAAATTTCTGTTTACTGACAGACAGAGACCAGCACCTATCAGCTTTATCCTGCAGATAGAGAGCATAAGATTTCAGCACACTGCAATCTTTGCCAAACAACCCAGCTGGCCAGACAACCATACCTTTTATGTGACTAACATAACAGCCAATCAGATCAGTTGTTTTTGTGACAGAGACAGCTGGTGCAAATTCAGCCTATGTTAACACACTGAAGCTTGATTGGTATTTTCCCACAGGATTCTAAACTTAGACAAAAATATATGAGGTCAATATGAGGATATACTAAACACAATTCTGAAATGCTGGGGGAGGGGGGAGCTAGTCTCTCTTGGATGTCTGAAGTGAAAGTACAGTATGCATCAAAATGGCACTTAGAGGAGTGGTTTTCGAATGCTTCTATTGACAAACAGCAACTACTCCTAATGTGCCTCTGCTGAAATTATTAAATTGGATGATGCTTCATTAAATGAGTCATGCTACATTATATGGGGCTATATTAATTTTGGCTGCAACTTGTTCTTCACAACAATAACATTATGCATTTCTATGGTGGTCTACCATCACACCTTTTATTTCTCCTTCCATTATATTTTTGGTTGACAGAAAATAAAGCTAATGCTGAAATGTTCAATCAGAGCAAATTCTCCATAATGTCATACTGTCGGTGGCATGCTCTGCTTTGTGTACTATTGTCTCATTTCCATTGTTTCATAACTAATCAATGTTAAGTACTGCAATTAAGCATGCAAGTTTTAAAAGTCCTATTCCTTGTTTTTTCGCCTCTGTTCAAATGTTTTAGTTTTGTCCCAGAGATGCAACAAGTAGTTTACAAGTACTTATTTGTGTGCCAGTGGCCTGCTCTGTTCTGAACCAATTACTGCAATTTGTCAAGATAATTGATAGTTTGTTTCAAATCTCTGCTCTCTAGTTAATGTTAGAATATATTGAATGTAAAAATATCAGATTCAAGCACTGTGGGGGAAAGTGGTTTAATTTCTAAAGCAATATTTCTTCATTTTAATATTTTTCTGAAGGTGTTTTTTTTTTTTTTTTATTGATTTGCTATTTCATGAGGCCTATGCTTCCTCCACTCTTTTCTGCTGAATCATGCTGATTGAAAAAGGCTTTGGGGTCATACTAAACACAATCACCTTGGCAACCAGCTGCATATGTCACCTTGTGATGTAACTGCTCTGTTGATAATAATGTCCTCTTCTGGACGATCCTGGGATGTGCAGCTAGTATGCAGTAAATGATAACTATGTATTTTTAAGAGCATTTAATAGAACTCTCTTAAATTATCTGCAGAGAGTTTGTTAAAAATGCATTATAACAGCTTTATTATTTTTGCTAGTCTTTAATAATAATTGTGGCCTTTTCTCATAGCTGATGGGTGACTAAGGTTATGTTTGGAAATGGAATGAAATACAACTTCACAACTGTATACTGCACATAGTATGCATTTTTGCATACTGATAAACTGATATACTATATTTGCTAAAACATGAAGACTACAATCAGAGCATATAGTACTGCATACAATGCATTTTCAAAGAATGAACAGAAACAGTAACTACAGTGATTTGAATATATCTTTCTTGAGTAATTATTTGATCAGATTATAAGCCTTCTACACAAATTTGGATAAAAAATTAGCTTAACTGATCATGTGTTTATTGTAGAACATTATTAATATGGTTTGAACAATCTGTGCTAGTATTCCATTCTGGAGCAAGGGCGAAAGTATCTTTTTATTGCTTCAGATAAACTACCATGCAGCCTATTTAAATTGCTTTTATAAATGGGACATTTCAATTGTACCATCCAGCAGCACAGTATCCACCCAACAGACCTTACTTCTCTAGCTTGACCCATAAGTATAGAAAATTGAAGGCCATTTCACAAGTGTGCTCTGCAGGGCCCATTTCTGCAGATTTTTGTTTCTTTATCAGAATGCAGGCTGGCAGTGCCTGTCTAGAAAGTCTGTCATTCTGCAAAACAGGCAGACTGCCAGGTCTTTTCTATTGAAGCACCATATAAACCATTCCCTGAGCATATTCAGAGGCTGAGTTTAGGATTGTACTCTATCCATCACATTCTCCTTGTGCACCATTCCCTCTTGAGTTCTCATATTCTTGCCACGGGCAAATCCCTGTTGCTCAAACTGACAGCTGCAGACATGAGAGGCTGGTAAACAGCTGCTATTAGCATTAAGCAGAGTCACCTCTAACCTCTGGCATGCTGTGCTGAACATTACATATTCAAGTAGGACACAGCTGTGACTAAAGTGAACTTACCTGGAAGTGAAGGATGATGGTCCAGATCAGTCCCAGTGTCAGCTTTGGGTTCCCATCTGTGATGTCATCATTGCGTATATTCACTAATTTGACCTGCATTAAAAAAAAAAGAATCTCAATAGTGGAAAATATCTGAATGAGTCAAATATACAATTTGGTGTAAAGGTGTTAAAAAAAGAACTGATTGCCAATAAAAGACTATGCCTAGGTGAAAACTGATGATGTAATGAAATTTCAGGACAGCTTTGGCATTTGTTGTCCTCTTACGCTTTCAGCTGTCAGAAGCTATGTACTGTGCATTGGGAGAAGGGTGCTGGTTGGCATTTTGTCTGGTTTAGGGACCCTGGGCTGGGGTGACAACAGAGAGGGGATTGGACAGACTTGGATGGGGCAGAACACATCTATCAACTCCAGGTCATGTTATCTCAGAGCCATGTTGCCAACTGAAGCACAATGAGACTGAGGACACAGAGGTCCCAAGCTATCATCTTGTATTCACATCCCCTAAATGTGCATTACATTAGTTCATTAGTGAGGATAACTAGCCTAAACACTAAAGCGGACATGTCCTTCCCAATATTCAGAGGAGTAGTTGATGAATGAGACTTCTTCGACTCTTGTTTTACCCCACCCAATCTTGAATATTTGGTTACATCCTTGCATTTATAAACAAAGAGCTGACGATCTGTAAAAAGCAACTCTGAGAGTGAGAAAGCGCCATTTTAGACATTCATACCTGTCTCTGCTTAAGGAAGTCCAAGGCGATCTGCACATTCTGGAGTCGGTGAAATCGCATGCGACCCTTTTCCCTGGGCTATTGAAGACAGGAAGAGAGTGAGAGAGAAAACAGAGAGAGAATGCAGATGAGTGCATTGATAATCTGGGCAAATTGGAGGTCTGTGTGAAAACAGGACAGCTTCATTAGCACAAGCCTGAAAGCAGCACACAGCAAAATAACACAAGAGCCTCACAGGATTGTCAGTAATTAATAATCCTGTCTCAGAATTACAGGGAATAGCTAGCTTTACTGTTTGAATGGTCTGCTAATGCCGACATTTTCACAGTCTGCTATATAATTATTGTATCTCACACACTTTATCTCGCTTGCTAACATCTGTCAGTAGTGGGTGACCAATAGCAATATCTAGAGTGCAGGGCAGTAGATGGCCGATATAATATGTCAATATACACTAACATCCAAAAGTCCAGGCTTGGTAAGATTTTTTATGTTTTTGAAATAAGTATTTTATGCTCAGTAAGGCTGCATTTGTTAACAAATAAATACAGTAAAAACAGTCATATTATTACAATTTAAAATAACTGTTTCTATATATTTTAAAGAGTAATTTATTTCTGTGATGCCAAACCTGAATTTTCAGCATCCAGTCTTCAGTGTCACAATTTAATATGCTGATTTGGTGCTGAAGAAATATTTCTTATTATTTGTGCTACTTAATATTTTTGTGGAAACCCTGATACTTTTTTTTTCAGAATTCTTCAATGAATAGATAGTTCAAGGAATTTATTTAAAATGGAAATCTTAAATTAATTAATCAAATTTAATTTATCGTTGCTGAATTGATAAAAAAAATCTTACTGACCACAAACCTTTGAACTGTAAGTGTATATTACAATTTAACAGTAGGAAATAAGATGTACCAAAATTTCCTCAGGTTTCTATCTATTGATAAGGCAAAAATGTCAAATCTATTGACAAGGCCGAATGGCTAATTTTATTAATCAGCCAGACATGGCCAATAATCAAAATGGCCAAATATCATCCAATTAACTGGCCTGTCCAATATATCGGTCTATCACTGCTCTCTAATAAGGTCATGAAGCAGACTCACACACCCTTACATGCAAAGCATGCTCATTATCACCCACAAATGCAGCAGCGTGTACAGCAAACCTGGTGACCAGAAAACCCCCACAATAGGGCAGATGTGTCAAAGTCATCAGATTCAATGTGAGCATGTGATGTGAGCGTTGGCTGGACTGACGTGACGTGTAGTATATAAAATGTGTACACAAGGCGAGGTCTCTCAAACACCTAAATTTAATAAATCAGATTATGCGTGGCATCATGAATTCTCCATCGGCGTATTAGACATTCCCCTCTGCATATTCACGAAATTGACCTGTCCTTTGAGTCCACGCCATGCAGTGTACAGAGCTGACTGTGTGTGACTGTGTTCATTTCAATAGGGGGAGGGGGGGTCACACATACTCCCTGAGCTCCATCCTCCTCATCCTCCCCACCCAGCAGGATGAGTGGGGGTGCGCGTGACACAGACGTTCTCCGCAGAGTCGACGCGCCCTTGTGCTGATGACATCATCATAGAGAGGGTCACAGAGAAAGGATGAAGACAGAAACAGTGTTGAAGGGATGATATATGAAGAAAACAACAGTTTAAAAAATGAAAAGATGGAGGAAGAGGGTGAAACAAAACCAAAACCAAAAAAAAGCAACCCCCCCCCCAAACAAAAATAATACTGTATCATAAAAAAGATGAGGTAATAGAAAGGAAAGAAGAATGAGTGAGAGAGCAATCGAAGAGGGCAGGTGGTGTGTCAGCAGTCTGTCTTTGTTAATCCACCCATCATTCAGTCTGCCCCAATGCATCATGGTCCCCAGCCATCAGAGTGGGCAAGAGTGAGTGCAGAAATAATGTACTAATGCAGATGTCATTACAACACATTGCAGTACACGTCAGACTCAGCTATTTCTCTGCAGCAAGGCCTGTATCTGCATTCGGCAACATCAGCAACAAGCCAGGACACTTCATGACATCAGCCTAACCCCCAGGCCAACTCATGTGACATGATCCCCTGGCACCAAGTGGCTCTGAATTGCATTATGGAAAATAAAGCAGATCTCTGCCACATGAATTACCTGGGAGAACTGCATAACGCATTGGAATCAAATTTGTGTACAACCTTATGTATATCCTGTGTGTGTGTGTGTTAAGGTGATGGTAGTTGCTTTCTCACCAATGTGACGCCAGACAGCACCTCAAGCAGGGAAATGAGGTTATGTCCATCCCTTAGATCCTCATAAAGGTCTGTGATGTGCTTCCGCACCTGGAGAGAAAGAGAGAGAAATACAGTTAGAGTGAGATGTTGAGTTCTTTACAGTATTTAGAGGCCTACGTGTAAGTGTTTGTATTATAAGCAACGGTTTCAATAAGGTTCTGTGCTAGAATTACCATGTTTGGTTACAGGCTGACTTTATATATTAAACTGTATTTAAATGACAATTAGCAAACTAATTTGTTTGGTTGGTTGCGAACCATTAACAAAAACAGTTTGGATAAAATAGTGGAAACTAAAAGTAAATTAGTTTCATAGAGAGACAACTGCAGTGTACTAACTCTAACCTGCAGAGGGCGCCAGACTCATTGAGATGGGCCAGTAAACCAGCAACAAGAAAAACATGGAGGATCTCTAACGATCTTGAAGTTCTGTACTAAAGTGAACGTGTGTGTGTTTGTGGATTCAGAGATTCTAAGCTGCATACAGCAAAATCCAACACAGCTGCCTCCCCACAGGGCCACAGAGGAACCATCTGCTGAGTATAAAAGAACATCCTGACAACTGTGAGACTCACAATCCTCTCCATTCCCTCCCTTTATTTCAATCAATTCAGAAAAATAATAATAATACTATATTACTACTTTTATTCAGCAAGAGTGCCTTAAATTGATCAAAAGTGACAGTAAAGACATTTAAAATGTTACAAAAATAAATGCATAAATAAATTACAATTAGAAATATATTATATACATTGATTATATTATATTATATGATGATTTCAGAAAATTCAAAAAGCATCTTGTACTTCTGACAGTCTGTATAGAGACATCACGTGATCAATGTCACTGATATGGTTACGGTCACATTTGTGTTCCCACGCTCCCTGAACAAAACACAGTCATTTCTTTCCACCTCTGTCTCTTCCATGTCATTTCAGTGTTTATCACAGGTGTGTTATCAGGGGATGCCCTGTTGCCATGGACAGAGAGAATAACAAACTATACTTGGGCACTGGAGTAATACCCCAGCGGTGGAGCATTAAATAATAAAATGTGTCACACTCAAATGCTTCCCCCGTTTGTAGTCAGCAGTCATTCCTGTAGACAGGTATGTTGTAGAACCCCTCTTAAACCAGTTTGCAGTGAGGTCACTGTTTATGTTAGGTGTGTGTAAAGGACAAACAAACGGATGTGACACAATCTACACACTGCTTTTAGTCAGTGTAACATTGCCCGAGGGGAACCACATACCCGTTCACCTGCCAGAGATGGAGAGAGATGCGTAAACATAATGCTAACAGGTCTCATCACCTACTTTGTATCTGCTAATGAGACTCATGACAAACTACACGAGCTATGCTATAACAGCCAAAGAGCCAATTGAATAATTGCACATTTTCGGGTATAATCATTCCAGAATTAAAGACCTGTCAAATATCAATTGATAATTCTAGACCGGTCCACTATCAAAACCAGAACAGAATGTTAGTGGGATCTTACATCACTTTGAAGTAAGGTTGTAAAACGATTAATCGCGATTAATCGCATTCAAAATAAAAGTTTATGTTTACATACTATATGTGTGTGTATTTTGTATATTTATTATGTATATATAAATACACACACATATATGAATATATTTAAAAAATATATTTGCATGTATATTTTTATACTTGAATATAATTTATATTATATATAAATATTTTAAATATATATAAATCTAACATTTTTCCTTAATATAACACTGTTATTTTGAATGCGATTAATCTCGATTAATCGTTTTGCAGCCCTACTTTGAAGCATTGAAGACACGCAATCTGTCTTTTGTTATATGTGGGTAACAAACAGTCTGTTGTCTCTAATACAATATAAAGAGGTCCCAAAAGGGTCACAGAGGTCTAGTATATATAACTCACTACTTGTAGAGTCTAACCTTTCAGCAGCACTGTATAAACCCATCTCATTTCCTATGGTCAGTCTACATTACAGTAATACCGGCTGAGTTATGCGGCCACTATGTCTAACCTTATAACTCTAGCCCTTCTGCGGTTGGTCATCTGCCCTGCCCTTGAAATACCCAGCATTCTTTGCTCTCATGATCTGTAGTCAGTGGGGCAGGAGCTACAGGGGATTAACAGACTCACAAATATAGTTCTGGAGCATGACAACATGCTGAACATATTTTCAGTGTCATATGGACAAAACACTGGGGAGATACCTTTGTCATTGTGTTATTATTAAAACCAATAACAGCTTCTGTACAATCGTTGACTTGCAGGACCCACTGCAAGTGTCCTAATATTAATAAGATCAGTCCCTGAGTCTTATGTGTAAGTGTGAATGTGTGAGCATGCATGCTGTGTGTTCAGCAGGACTGAAGCCCAGTGGCCAGCAGGCCTTATCATTGTGCAGTGCAGCAGAAAAGACAAAAATAACCCGGCGTGCTGAACTGTACCTTTATGAGATGTTTGTTGACCCATTTTGTGAAAGTTTTCTTCTGCACCCTGTCTCGTTCATCTGTGAAAAGAGAGATAGAAGAGGAAACAGCAGAAAGAGACAGAGAGGAAGAGGCGAGGAAGGGGGAGGAAGAGAGATTGGGTTAATTTTGTAACACATAAAGAGATGCTGTGTATTATTTACAAGCGTCCCTCCAGTCTTGCTTTAAATAGCCAGAATTCAAACAAATGCAAAATCGTGTATTTTAATGATTAATACATTAATATAAATAATACATTTCAGCCATGGTCACATGATTTAATAGAAAGCCATATTGTAAATACACTACCATTCAAAAGTTTGGGGTCAGAAAGATTTATTTTATTTTATTTTGCTTTTAATTTGATGAAAAGTGACAGTAAACTTTCCATTTAAATAATCTTGAAAAAATAAGTATTACGGTTTCCACAAAAATATTAAGCAGCAAAACTGTTTTCAACATTGATAATAATAAGAAATGTGGCATTGAAGACACGCAATCTGTCTTTTGTTATATGTGGGTAACAAACAGTCTGTCGTCTCTAATACAATATAAAGAGGTCCCAAAAGGGTCACAGAGGTCTAGTATATATAACTCACTACTTGTAGAGTCTAACCTTTCAGCAGCACTGTATAAACCCATCTCATTTCCTATGGTCAGTCTACATTACAGTAATACCGGCTGAGTTATGCGGCCACTATGTCTAACCTTATAACTCTAGCCCTTCTGCGGTTGGTCATCTGCCCTGCCCTTGAAATACCCAGCATTCTTTGCTCTCATGATCTGTAGTCAGTGGGGCAGGAGCTACAGGGGATTAACAGACTCACAAATATAGTTCTGGAGCATGACAACATGCTGAACATATTTTCAGTGTCATATGGACAAAACACTGGGGAGATACCTTTGTCATTGTGTTATTATTAAAACCAATAACAGCTTCTGTACAATCGTTGACTTGCAGGACCCACTGCAAGTGTCCTAATATTAATAAGATCAGTCCCTGAGTCTTATGTGTAAGTGTGAATGTGTGAGCATGCATGCTGTGTGTTCAGCAGGACTGAAGCCCAGTGGCCAGCAGGCCTTATCATTGTGCAGTGCAGCAGAAAAGACAAAAATAACCCGGCGTGCTGAACTGTACCTTTATGAGATGTTTGTTGACCCATTTTGTGAAAGTTTTCTTCTGCACCCGGTCTCGTTCATCTGTGAAAAGAGAGATAGAAGAGGAAACAGCAGAAAGAGACAGAGAGGAAGAGGCGAGGAAGGGGGAGGAAGAGAGATTGGGTTAATTTTGTAACACATAAAGAGATGCTGTGTATTATTTACAAGCGTCCCTCCAGTCTTGCTTTAAATAGCCAGAATTCAAACACGGACCGTAAAATGCAAAATCGTGTATTTTAATGATTAATACATTAATATAAATAATACATTTCAGCCATGGTCACATGATTTAATAGAAAGCCATATTGTAAATACACTACCATTCAAAAGTTTGGGGTCAGAAAGATTTATTTTATTTTATTTTGCTTTTAATTTGATGAAAAGTGACAGTAAACTTTCCATTTAAATAATCTTGAAAAAATAAGTATTACGGTTTCCACAAAAATATTAAGCAGCAAAACTGTTTTCAACATTGATAATAA